AGTTATTCTAATGCTTGAAGTGGACTGCTGAAAGGTTATCGAGTGTAGGAATAGATTCGATTATAGCCAAGGTCTACTTTCCATAGCCAAGCTCTTTATTTATTTATTTGTTTCTTTTTTTTTTGATAGCGCAAAGCAGCAAACATTTTTTTTTTGGGATTAGAAAAGGGTAAGGTATGTGAGAAATCGAGAAGAAAGGGCTACCGGTTTATTGGAACGAAAATAGTGGACGATGAGATGCGGTATTTGTGGGTTTGTAGAGTTTTAATAGGAATCAAAAGATAATTTATTAGGTTTTTATTGTTTATATTGAAGTTAAAAAGGCAGTTCTGTATCTGCTACAGAACTGTCAAATTTTGTTGAAGAGTTGATGGAAGGTTTCAGAGATGATGATGGATGCATAAAATTTTATAGAGGATTTTATGGTATCAACGAATTCGATAATCAAAAGTGTCATTTCTGTTGAATGCATAAAAAGGTCACAGTGGCAAGATAAAAGACATTTAAAAGAGTTAACGGGCTTAGAAAGATGGCTGCAGATAGAAACATTTAGCTTTACTTGAGTCGTTGATTTCTTGACTTGTTGAGTATCAATTGGCACGTGTATGCGCCCAGGCGGAGAATCAAATAAACTTTGGAAAAATGAAAATTGCTCTGTTTTGAGTCGTTCAAATCATAACTTTGCTTGGGTGTTGAATGCCTGTTAGAAACCCGTGAAGAAAAAAGTCGACAGAATAAAAGCTATGGATCTTTTTTTTGTGGCGTTATCTAGTCAAAATTTTTCCTCGTATATTTATAGAGGTATTTCGAGCATCGAAATGGTAGATGCGTCAATTTTATTACTTCAAAAAAAAAACTTTTTGCTACTATTTGTAGTGTTTTAAAAGAAAAAAAAACGATTCAGCTGCTTTTAAACATTTTTGCCAGTTTACTGTTTATGTTACAGTTTACAGGTATTTGAGGTTTGTTTGGACTTTTTGAGAAGAATGTGTTGGCTGGTTGAGTTTAATGTACGGTTAATAGTGATCTGGTGGAGTTGTTTAGCATGGTGACTATTGTTTCTCAGCCTTCTCAATAAAATTTGACCCAATTTCGCTTTTCTGCTGAAGAAGAGATCAAGTAAATTATGTGAGATTTCGAACTCGCTTAGAACCTTCCGCATTGCATTTGTATCGTTTTTGATTGCTCTTTGATCGCTACTGTACTTTATTGCTTCTGGACGTGGCATAAGTCGTCTCATCTCTGATTTTTTATTCTTTTTTTTTTCCCCCCCCCCTCTGTTTACACTTTTCTGTTGTACATTTGTAAGACGTTTCCTCGTTTCTTGTTACCATTTAAAACGCTTATGAGTCTGCCTTTATTTTTTCAGTGTCTCAACAGCAGTGTCCTTTTTTGTGGTAATCGGTTTTTCTTTTTAGCATAGTATACGCAAACGGTAGACTAAACTATCAAAACTGCAGCAAAAGTTTTTAGGCAAAAAAAACCTGGAGACTATAATCAGGACTATTGGTGTTACTGATCTACGTTTTCACGATGAAAGAACAGCACATCAAAAAAATATGGGAATTTTGTTTTAATAAAAATTTAAAAGTGCAGAACATCTTGTTATCGAATTGGTGACAGTTTAGTCTTAGGTGTCTGATTTGTTTTTGGAATTTGGGTTACCCAGTACTCAGTACTGACCCCAAGTTTTTCATATGAGCGATTGTTGCGACCGGAAAATGACACTCGTCATGCAGTTACGTATTGTCAGCAAATCAAAAAAGAAAGAAAAGAAATTTAAATTTCTGTAAAGATAATCAACGCAGTGATCGCAAAAATCAAGCTTGCTATTCATGCAATAGAACTTACAGAACTTGAATAGAACTTTTTTCTCAGGCATTTCTGATTAAACTGCAGTTTATTTTCGTTTGTAGCATTATATCAGGAATTGGGAAAAGTATATAATGAAGGCATTATGTTTCGAAGGGTTTCATTTAGGTTCAAAAAATTATTTATAAGATAAATTTTTAAGAGTATACAGTTTGGATGTCGTATAGAAGAACAAAAACTTATAAGTCAACACATTTCGCAGTAATTATGCGACTATAAAACCGACCAAAAGTTTAGGCAAAAGAGAAGGTTTTTTAATTATTTATTTGCTTTTGTTGCCTTTAATTTGAATATTTCCAAGTGCTGTTTGACACGTAAATAAAATCTATTTTTGGCTAAGCAATTTTCATTAGCTGTAATTGAAGACTGCAGTCGTCGTTCAATCGCTACGTTATATAAGCTTCATAAAGATAATAAGTTGATACAGTTTAGTTGATTGCTGAAGTCTAAATTTTAAGTGCTATTCAACGGATCAAAGAATGCGGTCGCCTTCCCGCTGATGAGTGACATCAGCAGCATCGTGTTCTTTTACTGATTTTTCAGGCAGGAGACTTTTAGTATGACCGATTACATCTGTGACAAAGTTCTTCTGAAAACATTTCTGTCAAACTGATCATTTCTCTCAATCAGTTTCGGGAATTGCAATTTTATTGGATACTTACAGATTCTGCCTTTTATTTTGCTTTTTCGTATTTTCTTCTAATTGAAGCGAGAAGGCAGAAGAGAATTACGGGGGCATAGTTGCATTTCTGAACAATGAGCTATAATTTTCATCTGGTAAAACTTTCTGTTTTTTTTTTTTTTTTTTTTTTTTTTTTT